GACACAGGAGCAATATCTGGGGAAGGGTGCTTTCGGGGCGTCCATTTCACCATAACCCGGTTCCACCCTCCGAGGTTGGCATCCCCTAAGAAGATTGCACATCCACTCCTCGACGCACTTTGTGTTCCGTATGCTTGGCAATTTTCCCGCAAATTCACTTTTTATTACCCCCTTAACGCGACCCGGATCCTCCCGGTGCTTTCCATAAATCCTATCTAGAATGTTTAAATAATATATGTTAACGCACCCGAGACTGGCAATAAATTAATAAAGTGGCGGATTTAACGGTATTAAAGTTTCTTACCCACTTATTTAATTTTATCACTCGTGATAAAGTGAGGTTATATGTTTTTTTTTAATTTAATGCCGAATCAACGTTTGCGTCACCGAGGTACTGCGAGGGGGTGAACGATCGATTTGAATCAATCAAATTGATGTATTAAATTTGGGGCGATGGTAGGTACCACCCCCGAGGGGATCGTCGATAATGGCTCATATCGGCCAAGTTTTTGGGGCTCAAAGACGCCGAAAGAAACGTGTCCCGGAAGATGGATGAAACCGGGGGTGGCTAATTAATTTATTTTCAACCCTAGGCAAAGTTGCGAAACTCAGAGTGGCGGGGGAGAAGAACGCTTAAACGAGAACGATGAAAAATGGAAGGATGGCTGTAATCACGCCCTGACGGAACAAACCCCTTTCAACTCCCGTTCTTCTGCCCCTAGAGGTCCTCTAAACTGCCCAATTATTTCATAAATATTAAATAAATATTCAAAAATGTTATGCGTGTAGGAATCATTTTTTAAGAGTCAAACGTTAATTTTCAGGGCGGTCGGCGAGACGGGGGTGAACGGTGCCGAAAGAAAAGTGTCCCAGAAAATAGACAGGAATAGAAACGTCGCTAATTTATTTTCAGCCTTTTTGAAACTATGCCAAGGGTCGCGGGGGTGAGAAATGCCTGAAGAACGGCTCTTATCACGCTCTTCTGTGGAACAAGCCCTGTCCACCCCTCCGACTCATTCAGCCTGCTTCTAGCCCCGAGACATCCTCGGTGAGGAGAAATTTTCACCCCTCGACTTGAAACTTCGACGTGACGATAAAATTATAAAAATAAATCACCCGAATTAAGGGAAAATAATCATGTACATAAAAAATAAATATCGATATGAAAATTAGAATTTTTAGGTATTAAGGGTAGAGCGAGCTATGTTGACGTCACCGGTCATAACAAGAGTATGTATGAAAAGGGCTGAAAATAATTTTTTAGGGTTTATAAAGAGGGGAGGAAATAATTTCTCCTTCGAATTCCCAAGAGTCAAAAGAGACGGAGAAAGAGAGGGTGGAGAAAAATGGGGAGATCGCTAATTCATTTCCAACCCTTTCAGCCGAGTCGCTCTTATCGCGCTCTTTTGCGGAGCACCGCGTCCAACTCCTGTCCCATCCAGCGTGTTTCCAGACCCAGGATGGTCTTGCAAAGGACGAATTACCCGGCGTTAGCAGATTTTAATATGTAAGCTGTCGCATCCCTCTTTCTCGCCCACCCCCACCTACCTTGAGCCGAGATTCCAGCAAATTGCAGCCAATTGGCTGCGCTCCGTCTTTTTCTCGCTCAGGCGAATCCTCGTCCTTTTTGCTCCGGCCCTCCATCGCGGCCGACATGGCAGGATAACGAGTCCTTCGCAAAAACGGGAGGAAGAAGCGGCACCGATGGGAGGAGGGGGCCACCTAACGAAGGAGGAAGTGCTCCATCCGGGACCGGAAATCCTGGAAAAATAAAAAAGGACCCTCCGTCAGCGTTTATTCCGTTTTCTTCGTTTCCGCGAGTCTGGAAATTCGGAAAAATCCAGACCGCGGGAATATTCATAATGGTAACATTAAGTCATAATTTTTCGATATTATTTGCGTTGTCACGTGTTGTCACGTGTCGTCCGACAAGGACTTCCGAGTCCTTCGACGGTTTCGGGTTTTTTCTTCCGGGTCGCTCGAGAGGTCCTTCGGGACCCCTCGAGGCGTTCTCGAGCCTCGACCTCGATCGTCGAGATATTTCCAAAGTATGTCAAGACCTCGGGCTCGGAAAAAGTCCTCCCCTGCTCTCCAGGAGCGATCCTCGGAGCGATTCTCCTTACGAATTCGAAACTTCCCTCCCCGGAGGGCCCCATCCTGATATTCCAGGATTCTTCACGACCTGATAAAGTGCCTCATCTTGGAGCGCCGCGAATCCCTTTTATTTTTTATATTATCTTTATTCCATTTATTTTTCTTTCCCTTTACTTTGGACGAAGAAGAAGAAGAATCTCGATAACAAATACACCCTAAATAAATTCCTCAGTACCTGTTTAAACATTTTCAAAATAAAAATCAAGAATAATTGATTGTCGCGAGTCGGCCCTTTTTCCATTAAAAATTGTAAGGATCGCCGCGTTCGCGGGGGGTCGGGGAAAAAAGCAGATAAATCAGCGAGAAAGGTAAGAATTTTGGGGGAGGGAGGGCAAAGGGACAAAAGTGCGAGGGTGGGATTTAACGTGGAATTTGAAAGGGAAGCTTAGTAGGCTCTCTCTCTCTCCCTTTCTGCCCTCGCAGTGGCCGCCGGCCGGGGGTGAGTCGAGGGGGGAAAATGCCCCTGGAGGGGTGGTTATGACGCGGGTGTAACCTTGGCAACCCCGCCCACCCCTCGCCACCCCTTTACATCCAGCCGCCTACAAATGGACCAAAAATGGAGCGCAGCCCCCGTCCGAAAATCCCCTCCCGGGCGAGATGAGATCCCCAGGATGCTGCGCGTCTTTCCTCCGGCACTTCGAAATGCCGAATTAATTCTCAACCCCCAAACGACTCCGTTCGGCCTCGAGTTCGGCCGAATCGCGCCCAAGGATTGGAAGGACACGTGGGGCCGGAATTTCGAGCCCGAAATTGAGATAAAAAGATGAAAAAAATTTTTCAGCGACAATCGTTGCAGCTGCATCGAACGTTGATATAACAAAACGAAAAGAAAAATGTTACCGCTCGATCGAACGAGCGATATCACGTTTTAACCGTAAATAACATTTTTTGTTTTCAAAGAAATTCAAATTGACGGGGAATTTTTTTGGTGCGCGTACTCGGTAGGGGCGAGTCTCAACCCTTTAGAGAGATGGGGCTCTGGATTTATTTCGACCCTGGAAATCAAATCGACCCCGCTCGTGCATTTCGCGTCATCTGCCGATTCGAACCCTGGTTCCCGGTCTCGCGAATTTATCGGCGAATGCCGTTAACGCTTTTACGCGGACGTTCGCGAGAGGCAATATCGCCCGGTGTAAACGGGGTCGCGGAATTCGGTGTCGAGTTTTGCGCGAGAGTTGACAGGGGGTAAACCATCGTTTCCTCTTCCGCCTGTAATTCGCGAGCTCGGATGAGCGATCGGGCCATTGCTTCGAAAATCAAGGAAATGGAGAATTAAACGACCCCTAACATAAATTTCCAGATTTTTCAAATTTCGAAGCGTCGCATCCGTGGTAAAAATAAGGACACGAGGTGCGAGACGCCCTCGGGAATGTATTTTTTCAGGTGCATTCCGCTTTCCCTGGATTGCAGGTAAATTCAGGAATTTACAGGGATGATGATTGGCGATATTTGCGACCGCTAATTACCATGCCGGGAGAGGGCGTAGAGAGGCGGGAAGTAGGACTATGGGAAGCGGAAGAGGTCCAGGGGCGAGAGGGATGCTGCGAGCCGAGAGAGTGGAGCAGGGTGGCATTGGGTCGAGGTCACCAGGACGAGGCGATCGATGCAGCCAACCCTCTTGTACCCTCTTCCACCCTCTTTGAGCCACTCCCCTCCGGCTCCTCCACCCTCTCTCTCCGTTCCCCTCGATCTCCCCCGAACGGCCGATTCGTAATGGCCAACGATTTACTACCCCTTGTGAAAAGCGCCGCGGAACGGCCGCAATCCGGACCGCGGGGCTGAAACGTCGACTCCTCCCATGGGAAGCCGGACCTTTAAGCTTCCGCTTTCCAGCCGGAAACGACCTCGTAAAGAGCGTCCACCTGCGCGTCGGATCGAAAATCGACGATTAGGTCAAGTTAGGTTTCCGGTGGAACGACTCGGTGGCGAGATGACGATTGCAGCTCTTCGAGGTGCCATGAGAGATGATTGCGGATGATAGCAGATAATGCATACCGAGCCCAAGGAGGGCGACAGGGCGGCGCCGATCTCTTCAGCTGTCGGTCTTCGGGGTGTGCGCTGTTTCGTTTCCAGGGCCGTCCTGCAGCCGCTCGCTTTCGCGTTTTTACAAATGTCCCGGTCGTTTTAAATGTCACGGCGTCCAGTCTTTCTACAGGCCATATATGTTTTTACGCTCCCTTTTTTTTCGTATCCCAGTTCCTTGCCGGAATGACCCTCGTGCCAGTGATCTCGCTCTGAACGGACGCCAGGCGTATCATGCGAAGAGGCTCGCCGCGATATGACGTGAGTTCCCCTCTTCGGGGGGCGAATTCGGTGCCGGAGGTTTCTTGACATCCTTTTCCATCTCTTCCAGGAGAATCTAGACGAGTCCACGTCCGCCGAAGACGATTCTTACCTCTCCTCGGACCTCGACCTCCTGAACCCCAGGTGAGTCCCAGCGCCTTCGGGTATCCCAGGAAGTCGACATTTTTTCCCAAGCATTCTGGACTTTTTTGCCGTCTCTTCGAGGTCGTCCAGCAAAAAATCCAGAAATGCACTAACTCGTTGGCCCGTTTCAGGGGTCCAGGGTCCAGCTGGAGGAACTCGAAGGGCCCTTCTTGCCGCATCGATGAGGAGGTAGAGTCGACGGACCTTCTAGCTTCGTCGCCCCGGTTGACTCTTCGTCGCCCGGACTGTCCCAAGGCCACCGAGACTAAATTGCGTAAGTGATGTAAGTGTACCCCGGGGTTCTCCTCTACCGGAAGTCGGCCGGAGGATGGAGGACTTCCGGTAACGAGGCTCTGGAGGTCTGTTTCAGTGCGAGCGAAAAACACCGTTCAACGCACCGCGAGTTTGCAAAACTTCTCGGCTGAGATTTGCGCCAACAGACATGAGGTAAATATTTCAGTTAGTTTCGAACTTCTAATGCAGATATGGATATAACAAAGGTCTGGGAAACAGAGGAGGAGTAATTCCCCAAAAACGAGGTCGGGTCGAGGGATCGAGTCGGCTCACCTAGTGATAAGGGATAACACCTGATAACACCGTGTTTCCGTTTCTGCCGGGGTTTAGCATCTAGTAACTTTCGCCGAGGCGAAGTACTCGAGCGGCGAGGGGCTCGAGGGGAAGTCCTACGGTAAACTTTGGTAATTATAAAAGTTCCCCTAGGGGAGAAATTTCCAGCGCGAGCACTAAGAGCTCCGGTAAGGATAAACCGGTCTAAAACGCTTTGCTGCGCTTCAGGAAGGGAAAAGGGACCCCCAGAATTATAAAGGCGATCCGCCGGCACAGCAGAAGACGTAAGGACCCTCCTCGTCCTTTTCCTTTGCTTAATCCTGCCCTAATCTCGAGAAGGGCGCTCGATCGATCGGTATTAATCTTGCCGAATTCCTTTTCGTGCCCGGCAACAGTCGAGGATCGCTCGACCTCTCCCAAACGGGACGACAGCAAGAGCAGCGTCGTCGTCCTTTATCACGGGAAGGCCCCGACGCCTCCACCCTCTTCTCCGAGGCCTCTCGTCAGAAACTCCAAATCCGAAGGCACCGTCGTCCACGAGGCCTTTCCGGTCCGACCTATTCCGAAGGAAGTCGCCACCCAGAAGAAGGAAGAACTCAAGCAAAGGTTGGTACCCTGAAGAATGGAGCAAAGTCGGCATCCTCAGAAAAAAATTTGTATGAAGAAAATATTCTCACTCTCGATTTTACTTCTAGACCAAAGTCAGAAGAGTGGACCAGATCCGAGGTCTCGAGTCCGAAGCTCGTGCACCGACGTCGTCGAGTCGCGGCTCGAAAGTGCCGTCACTCCGGAAAGAGACAGGACCCGGTAAACGTGAACATCTTCCACGAGAGTCGGGTGGTGCGGGTGACTCCCCAGGAGCCCTGGGTCGAGCCCGACGTTCTAAAGTGTCCGTTAAAGACCTCGAAGAACCCGACCGACCGACAACGCGGCAACTGGTCGCCCATCCAGGAGAAGTGGAGATCGGACCGGAAGAACATTGGCTCTATCTACGAAAAAGAGGAGCGATGTCGCCCTGACCCAGGTCGCGGTTCGAGGCTCATGGCTAATCGCTCCAGGTTCGATCTCTAATTGCCAGGAATTTTTTACGCGAGTGCAACATTTTTTACTAGGATTTTTCTCCGTTCCAGCCGGACCAAAGAGGGAGACATCGAACAAAGGCAGTCCTGCGGCGTTCCGGCGAATTTGGAGTTCCTGGTGCAGCGTATGCAAACTCATCATAAGGGTCCGGAAGGTCGAGGTCTCTTCGAGGTGAATGCCGAGGACGCCAGGAGGGTGTTCCCTTTCCAGGCAACCCCAAGTGGTAACTTGAAGATCATTCCAAATCAGGTTTGCTACCGTTGGCCGAGCGGGGACTTCCGGTCCCCCGAGGACTCGACAGGATCGAACATACCTTCAGGTGTTCTAGGTCGTGTTCGAGTCGAAGAAGGTCAGCGTCCTCGTGGCCGACCCTAGACACACCAAAGTCAACGTCAAGGCCGAGATCAGTAGACCCGGCATCGACCTTCCAAGCTCGAATCTCGATTACCCCGACCCTGAGCTCCCGCCCTCCACCGCGGAGTATCTTCAGGTTGACCCTCAACCTTGCGCTAAAAAATTCGACCTTCTTATTTTTCCTTCTCTTTTTCGCCTTGACAGACCCAGGAGAAGTCTCGCAACGAGCAGGAGTACAGACCGAGGACTCAACCCTATCGAGTAAAGGTTCACCAGGTGGAAATGGAGCAGAACCAGACCCAATCGAACCCGGTCAGGGGACCATCGGCATCGGAAGTCCCCTTGTCCTCGTGAGCGTCCATTTGATTCCTTCCCACACTAAAAAAAAATCCCAGTTGATATTCTAGCTATTATGACCATCAGGTTGGGGTTCACCGGGGAGCAGCCCATCGACTGGAACAATATTATCCTCCCGGAGAAGACGGATCTGTATCAGGAACTGGCCAGAAGGATCACGAATTACAAGTGAATTTCGGTCTCATAATTTTTCCTGGCGTCACTTGAATTCTTATATTTTCAGGAACGCCGACTGCATCGTTCGGATCGGCCAGGACGAGTTCCACTGCCACCTCCTGGTCCTTCAGAGCTACAGCACCTTCTTCGACGAGAAGAATTGCAAGGACGTCGACCTAAGCGGGGTGAGACTCTTTTCTCGATTTTAGAAATGTCTTATTGACTGGAAACGCCACTTCGAGGACGTAAAACCTCCACCTCTGAGGAAAAGTGTAATGGTGGACTTTGATTAATGAGAGCTAGTCGAGAGAGAAGGGGAGGGACTCTTCGGTAAAAGCCCTTCATTTATAAGAATACGGAATTTTCAATTAAAATGAGTCTTATGAGAATTCCGAGACACCTCGAGTGCACCTTGACGATCGACCTTAATTGCTGTCTCTTCTTCTCAATTAATTCTCAATTATTAATGCTGAAAATTCGCTGGGCGAGGATGGAGGCGCCTCAGAGGGAACGAGTCCTTTAGCTTCAACCTCTAAACTCGTGAACCGTAATGGGTTAAAGGGCTCACCGAAGGGTTCCAAATTGAATGAAGACGAAAATTCGCAAAAGGAGGAAATTTTTCCGGGAGGGTAGCTGGACCGACCTCGATTCCTCGTGTCAGCATCCTCTCCCCCTCAGTGGCTCTTAGCCAAACGACCTTGGACTCCTTTCGACCCCTCTCGAAGCTTTGACTCTATATTTGACTCCGGTTAAGGGTTGAATGCCGCTCTCTTGAAAAACGCTTCCCACACTTCGCGAGAAAAAAATACCTCCACCTTCTCTGCCTTTGAATTCACTCGACAATCCTTTTGGACCTTGAAGAGCGACTCAGCATGGACCGAGTGAATAGAGACGCGGGCAAAAAGGTGGGAAATTCGAAGATAACTACTGTGGGAAATTCATTTTCCTGGGGATTTCTGGTTCGTCCGAATCTCCGGGAAAAATTCTAAAAGAGATTCGAGGAGACTCCCCCGCGAGCATGAAATAGAAAATTTGCATCTTTAGCTCGGATTGCGGCCCGGGGATAAAATAATGTTAAGCGAGCGTTCCCGGAAATCCCACGCCCTCGGGAACCGGGCGACAGGAATTTCCTCTGGGAAATATCTCGTTCCTCGAGGTCGCGTTTTAAAATCCCAAAAAGAGGAGGCCCGGCATACACGAGAGAGTGGATTTCAGAGCAGCGTCACTTCGAGAGCCTTCTCCATCATCTACGACTGGATGATCAGTCCCACGGTGGAGAGCTGCCACTTGCTGAGGAGAGACAACATCCTGGAGATCTTCATGGCCGCGCAGTACCTCGGCATCAAAGGCACGTTTTTTATTCCACTCTTCAAAAGACGAACTCGTCCTTCATGTTGGGCACGCGTTGAGTTCCTAGGAGAACGCTTTTCAAAAGTCTCTTGACCAACGATCGCGTCTCCTTCCTTTCCGAAGAACTCGAGGAGCAGTGCTGGGCCTTCATCGACAACGACGAGCTCTTCTCCGAAGACACGGCGTTCCTTCTGTATCTGGAGGCGAGGAAAATCGGAAACACCGCCGTGATGGAGCTGATGGTCCCCAGGATCATGAAGTTCTTCCTGATGCTGGTCGGCACGAAGGACTTCCTCGAGCTCTCCGTCGAGGAGCTCTGCCTGCTGCTGCGTTCGAACTACATCTGCGTGAACAGGCGAGAAATCGTTGATTCTGCTATTTTTTAAGTTTTGAAAAAATTCTCCTCATCTGTCCTCTTCACAAAACGTGCTCTTCGAGTGAATCCCGACTCCTGGTCGACTTGTACAGTGAAATGGACGTGCTGATGTCGGCCGTGAGATGGCTGATGTTCGACTGGGACGGGAGGAAGCAATATCTACTGGACGTCCTGAAGTGCGTGAGATTCGGCCTGATCGCCCCCTGGCAGCTGGTGGACGTGAAGAGGAACCCGGAGAATCCGGAATTCATGGAGCTGATGTCCTACCCAGAGGTCCAGAAAATGGTGGACGACGGTCTCGCGTGAGTGAAATCCAAAATTCCGCATAAATATCATTTTGGATTTTTCTAATTAAAAAACTAAAATTTCTAATTTTCCGTTATTAAATTACGAAATGTCTCTTCCGTCAGCTTCGTCATCATAAAGTACTGGTACGGGAATCAGACCGAGGACTATTATCACTGGATCGATTTGTTAGGTTTAACCGAGCCGACCAATCGAAACTGGGCCGGCGAGGACAAGGTCAGGAATCGATCATGGAGGCGCTACCGATAAGAGCTTATCATGGACGCTTTTTTCATGTACAGAGCTACGTGACGTATCGCGAATTTTTGCTATACCTGGAGGACTACCAGAGGACGAAACTGCCGGAGTTGAAGCTGCGAAAAAGTCGAGGGAAACCCGCCCCCCCGAATTCGCCACCAAAAGAGAGCCCCTCGCCCCCACCCACGAGGGGAAGAGGAAATTACTTTCAAAATCACGGCAACATGGAAGCTGCAGCCTCGGGTAGATTTTCGCCTTAAAACAGATATTCAACACATATTCAGGCGGCAGATTTATAAAATAAGGTATATAAAAAAATTTCTCGACAGGTCAAGGGGTACCGAGCAATGCTTCGAGGAACACTAAGCAACCCATGAAGGGGCAATCATCCCCCTACGTGTCGAATGGCGGTCCAGGGGGGGCGATGTCCCCGGAAATCCTCAGCGAGTACCTGAGCAACCTCGACCGAGGTTCCAAAGGGGTGAGTAGGTCGTCAGGGTGGGCGAACGACTCCAACCCTGCGAGGATGGCGCCGTGGCCGAAAAACTGAAGCGACAGGACGAAGCTCCCTTTTGAGCGGTTTTGTATAAATATTCTTTCGCATCCCTGGACGAAAGTCGGGAACGCGCGGCTGGAAATACAGAAATACAGATGAAGAGAAAATCTCCTCCAAGTGGTCCAAATTACTCCGAGTCCGATTTAAAAAATCGCGTCGCGATCATTGAGAAGGATCTCTAAGGGAGGAAGGGTTAAGGGTGGAATTCGAGTTTTGATCCGAGTAGAGCGAGGTAGACGTTGGAAGGTAAGAAAAGAACAGCCACCTCGTCGGCTGATCAGCTGTTCGGATTTTTGGGAAGAGTACGAAAGTCGGAGTCGACTTCAAGGCGAGATTTCAAGACGAGTTCCCGAAGTCTCAGAGTGCAAGGGGCTTCTCCGATGCGAATGCAATCTCGGGGTAAGCTACGTGCCTGTAAGTGGTCGCTTTTCCGCAGTGGCATGGTCTAAGGTCAGAGTTAATGCTGCTATAACTACATTTTGAAAAAAATAAATTCAAGTCAAAACTCTTGGATTTCTGGTCGACCAGATTGCAGACCTTCGATGCACTTCTTCCTATGTCACTGACTGCACCGGAGAATGGCCTCCAGCGTGCACTTACAGCGCATAACTCTTACCTTGAGATTACACCGAATCTGGGGAGAAGTCGAAGAGAGACGTTGAGGAGAAACTAGAAAATTCAAATTTTCCCTAATTTTCAGGGTCAGCGGATGGCGGGCGATGGGGAGCTAGCCAACAAGCCGGGGAACTTGGAGGCGAGACTCGGCGGGGGTGGAGGAGAAACCTTAAAAAAGATCTACAACATCACCAAGTCCGGCAGGGCGTTCGAGCTGTATCGCCCCGAAGAGCGGCCTTCGGTAAGCGTTCTCGAAGACGAGTCGCCTCTTCGGAGGAGATAATTTGCAAAGAAATCGAAATCTCTTCAGGTACCGGATTCGCACGATGGAGGAGGGAACTCGAAGGCCATCCAGGAAACCCGGTACTATCAGCAGTGGGAGACCAACGTGACCGCAAAGAGGCACAACGACGTATCCGCTCATCGACATCGGTGGGACCCGAGCTTGAATCGCAGATCCGGGAGCAACCGAAGGAAAGATCCCAAGGCCAGGTCTTCCGACGAACGCACGGAGTCGGCGAAATCCGAGGAAGAAGCGGCCACCATGATCCAAGCCACTTACAGGGGATACAAAGTCAGGAGAAAATTCGACGAGGTTGGTCGTCGAGTCCGTACCTCCTGAAGAGCTTCCCGGCAAACCTCTATATTTTTCTTTCCGTGTTTTTTTGCATTTCTACGCATTTTAGCGGCATTACCCTTATCCACGTTGTACGATTTTCTTTCATCGCCCCAGATCAGAAAGACATCCTCGGAGGAGAAGCGGAACGCGAAGAGGATGGCCGAGTTCCTGTCCATCCCGGCTGGCCAGAACCTGCCGAAGCCTCTGGAGCCCGTCAAAGTGAGCAACGGCTCGATCGGCCGAGAGAGGACCTCGAAGGAAAGGACCCAGAGTCCCAGGAAAAAAATCAGGGACTCCTCCAAAGCGAGGGCGAAGCGAGACCTTCGACAAGTCGACGACGATCAATGCAGCTCTGCCAAGGATCTGGAAGGACTTCGAGTAAGCGACTTTCCACGGTAGAGAGGGAAATCGTTTTCCCTTGGCTTACTTCGTTCTCTGAAGTTCGAGGTCTGCAAGCCGCAGCCCACGCCTAGGACCCAGAAGCTCGCTAAACCCGCGGATTCGACCCTGATGACCGCCCCGACGAACCCGGTGGAGACCTCAAAACCCATCCAGACCATCAAATCGCCAGCCTTCTTCCAGAACTGCGACGAGAGGATGAGCTACTTATCCCCATCCGACAACACCGACACCGACGACCCGTTCTCCCCTAGGATGGGGGAAAGATCCCCCGTCGACCTGCAAACAAGGGATATCGCACGTGGATATCCCAAACTGGATCCGAACTACGAGGAGGGAAAAATTTACCGAGCGACCAGCGCCTTCCAGCCCAGGCCCAGGACTCGAGATATTCCTCCCCAAACTAAATTCAAAAGACCTGCGTGAGTCCTGGGATTTTTTTATCGCCGTTCGCGTGCGGTTTTACCATTATCCTCCATTATCTCGAGAAGCGCGAGATCTGACGATCTAACTCAAAACAGCACACAGAAGATGGGTGCAAACGTCCTTATCGATGGCCCCTACTCCGAAAATTCGTTGTTCCATCCCGGAAGAGAATCCGTTTTGATCTTCGGAGGCATGGATCCCCATAAGCTCTGCGGATGCACGGGCAACACCGGAAGGGACATTTACAGGTTCAAGCCTTCCGACAACGTCTGGGAATTCATCGGCGAGATTCCGGAACCCAGACACCACCACTCGGTGGTATACCTGAGAGGACGAGTGTACCTTGTGGGTGCGTGCTTCGACCCCGAATTTCAGAAATTATAAATAGATATTCTAAATCAATTTTAGGAGGAGCTCGAAAATATTCCTTGATTCTGAATTATATAAATGATATCATAAATAAATTTCAGGAGGAGCAGACCCCAGAGAGGACGACCTGGAGAGGAAGAACGTGGTCGTCGGCACCGTATGGAGTTACGACCCCTGCTCCAGGGTCTGGTTCGAGGAGCCTGGACTGCTCACCCCGAGGAAGAACTTCGGCCTGATAGTCAGCCACGGGAAGATGTTCGCCATGGGTGGGCAAGACAAGAACGGCATGTGAGTACCCTGACAAGTTAAACTGGAGGATTCTCTCCTAAACCTTTGGAATCCGTCAGAGCACTGAGGTCAGTGGAGGCGTTCGACCCCGTCGAAAGTACTTGGCGCGAGGTGCAACCGATGTACACGGCCAGGATGGGCCCGGCGAGTGCCAAGTACCAGGACCTGATCTGGGTGGCCGGAGGGATGACGAAATCCAAGAAGGAGCCCATCTCCAAGGACGTGGAGTGCTACGATCCCCTGAAGAACCTGTAAATTCCTCCCCCCGCGGTAGCAATTTTTAATAACGATTAACGCCTCGCTATTTTCCCAGGTGGCTGAAAGTCGAGCCCCTGAAATCGCCCAGGTGCTTCGCTTCCATGCACGTCGTCGCCGAGAGTCTTTACGTCATCGGCGGCGCGAGCAAGATCTCGGAGAACGTCACCGAGAGCATCGATACGATCGACGTTTGGGACCCGAAATCCTGCTCCTGGAAGTTGCAAACGGAAATGGCCGTCCCGAGACACGGCCATTCAACGGGGTCGATCGGTAGCGATTTATCGCAACGACTTAGTTAATCGTTCCGCAAGTTGGTGGAGAAATTTCTTTTCGCTATGAATTTTCGTCGGGGATAACGACCAAGACATATAAATTCAGAATTTCACTAGGCTAGTTCGTCCACGAATTTGGGGAATAATCTGTACGCTCGGGAATTTGTACCTTTAAATTTCTCCCTCCCAGGAAATCAGTTGCTGATCATCGGCGGCGTCACGACGATGTACATGAGGACCCTGAAGAGCGTCGAATGCTACTCCTGCGAACTCGCCAAGTGGATAACCGGGGTCTCCTCTCTACCGCACGCCGTGTCCGGCCATGGTTCCGTCTCCCTTCCGCCGACGAACGTCCTCAAAGACTACTAAAACGCGAAGGAACCTTTTAAACGGTGTCGAAAAAACGGGAAAAAAATAGGCGTTTGCTCTCACGACCGGGAGCTTCGAAAACGGCTCGGTCTCGTCTCGCGGGTGACCGTCGTCCGTGCAGCTTTTATTTTGTTACATTTCATTGTTGTTTTATTACACGTTTACTCCATAGGAATCCATGGGTGTTCTTAATTGTAAAAACATTGGTAATGTTATTTAATTACTAAATTTACGCGGAAGACAACGTTGTGGGATACACATTTGGATAGAAACCGTTGCGCGGCGTCACTTTTCGAATTGGCCAGTGGCACCATCTCCCGGTGTGCCGAGGAAACTTATCATGGAGTTATCTACCGTTCAATTCGAATGATTTTATGGGTGGTGGTGCCAACTAGAACTATTTGCTTGTCCAAATATTTTACTGTGCAAGGAACTTCTAGAATATTTCTACATTCATCGGGATGACCGTGTGAAAAGTGGTTACCCCTTTACCCACCTAAATGCGCTTCTTATTGTGTACCGATTTAGTGGCAATGAGTTCTGAGATAGGTTATGTTCTATTTGAAATTGAAACAGACCGATTAACGGTGGGGTCCGGGAACAATTGTTTCTATTGAGTATGGCTGAAATCAGCCCGTTGTTAGATTAAAAGCAATTTTCCTTACATATCAGAGCCGATCGTGTAGAAATCAGTCGATCATTTAATTTTATTGATCCTTCGAATCGGACTTGGCATGTACGACCAAAAGTAGAACCCGTGAACATAACGTGTAATTTGTGAATTTTACAACACAGTATCGGTAATTTCTTTCCGAAATCAAGATTAAACTAATCGACCCGTGACAAAATGTCAGAAGATAAACAACCTGACTTACGTTTGGGACCTCATCCCGATGTTACTTATCCGATCCATGTTCAGTACTGTGGGAATTGCTCTCTTCCGATCGAGGTAACAGTTTTATTCAGGCATAACGAGGAATAATTTCAGTGTCCACGGATAATCTCATCGAGAAGTTCTTAGATTAAGCATTTTTTTTTTCATAGTACTGCGAGTATTACCCAGAATATGAAAAATGTAAACAGTGGCTTGAAAGAAATCTCCCGTCAGAATTTGAAAAGGTCAAATTAGGTATGTCTGCAATATGAATTATGTAAAGTTTATATTTGAGTAAACTTGTATTAATCATTGCTTAAATTTGATATTACCGAGAATAGTAGAAGATGGAATGACAGAAACAGGAGGTGGGGAGGACGAGAAAAAGCGACAGAAGCGGGGTGGGAAAGGAATGTTAAAATCAAGAAAGAAAGAGGATGTTCCAAAGCAAGTCACTGTGTCGAGAGCTCCTAGAGGAAAAAAGAAATCGGTTACTGTAGTGTCTGGTTTAAGTACTTTTGGTAAAAAAAATGTTCTTACATATTCCTGATGCTAAATTTCCTCTTTTTATAAATTTCTCACTTATCTCCAAGGGTATAAAACTTGCGTGATTTTAGATATTGACCTAAAGGCAGCAGCTAAATTTTTTGGAAGTAGATTTGCTTGTGGCTCAAGTGTAACAGGAGAGGATGAAATCGTTATACAAGGGGATGTTAAAGATGACTTACTTGATGTGATTCCTGAAAAATGGCCTGAGGTAAAATTATTTGTTACAAATAAATTCTATAAATGTGAGCGTACAGAAATTCAAACTTTCAAAATTTGCATTAATACATTTATTCGTGTTTCAGATCGATGAAGATTCCATAGATGATTTAGGAGATCAAAAGAGATAACAAACCAAATTGATCAATGTGCGCACAACATTATTTAACGATACACAATATACTTCCATGTTAATTACATAATGTAAATTTACATAAAATATCTCCAACAATTATCACGTGACAAATTGAAATTTCATTTCACATTTCAATTTACGTCCTAGTTTATTCCATTTGATTTATATTTTCCTCTTCTCCAAAATGATTAGAAATTGTTTGCAATAATAACTCTACTTCTTCTTCCGTCAGACGATCTTCTCGATCTTCTATAATCTGTTGCATAAAACAAGAAATGTGTTCGTTAATAAATAAAATAGATTTTGATAGTTTTAAGTGATATTAAGTCATTTTTACCAATTGAATTTCGAGTGCCGTTTTAGGACAAAGATTTAAAAGTGTTAATTTTTCACACTTTGTTAATTTAAACACCTCAACAGCTTTCAGAAAATCTCTAATTTTTTCTGGAGATTGTTTGCTACACGGCGTATCTTCTAAATATCGTATAGTCTGATAAGTTATCGTCGCAAGTTGATTCTGTGTCATTTTTTGTTTCTTCTTAGATTTCATGCCTTGAAGAATTTCCAATACTTCATAATTACTTAAATAGGCAGAACAGTCTTTTAACCTACAAAAATATTGATATATCATAAATCATCAACCCTCACACATAGCCATAAGCATATGCGGGTGATTCACTTACACTTCCATTATAATTTAAGTCCTATTTTTATACTGTTGGTAAAAGATGTTAAAAAATGTTAAAGTATGTTTCTTATCATAGAGTTATGAGGAGGGTCCCTGAGCTAGCCGCCACTGGCAGGTATCAGGTGGCCAAATTCTCCACCGAGGGCAGCACAGACAGTGATCGTGAGAGATGTCAATTGGTAACAAATTCTGTGAAATTTTCACACAAGGATTTTAAAAGCTTCCTGACAAGTGTGAACATAAGCAGCACAAGTATAAAGTTCTAAATTACAGGTACAGATTTTGAATTTAACACGTAGATGTTTTGTTACGCACTTGAAAACATTTCCTGAGGATTCTAACCTCAAGCGGGAAACTTCATTTGACATGAAAAATTACCTTGGCTTGTACTTCCTCAATCACACTACAAACTGAAAATAAGTGCAATTTATCGTACGCGTTGATGAATTAATACTGCTTTCAGTATGGCAGATATTCGCTTATTGGAAGAAAGAGTCGAGGCTCTGGAACGTCAGATTTATGGTCTCGACAAAACTCCAACATTGGAAGAATTCCCATCGACGACCCCTATTGTGGACAGCGTTTTCCATACAAATACGGTAATCTTATCTGCCTTATCTGGGAGAGAAAAAGCAAATGCCATGGTGAAAAGACTATCGGAACTAAATTCTTATCTGGATCCAGATTGCGAGGAAATAAGTTTACAAACTGACGCAAAACTAGAATTAATTCTGGCTATGGAGTATGAAATTAAGGAGAATGTTTGTTTGCTCGAGAAACTCCAGGAATTATTACCCGCATTAGAGACGGATCGAATTCGAGATTTGCCTGAACTAAATGATAAACTTAATACTTTAACTCTCTTGTACCTTAAAGAGTATGAAAAGACAGAAGCTATAAATGATAAGATTAGAGACTTTATTGCAAAATACAATGCTATCATAAGAAGCATCGCATTGGCTTTTTTTAAAGCAGACGCCACTCTAACGGCATTGGAGGTAGCTGCAGCTCCTAAAAAACAACTTGATTAAATTTTAGTATGAAACTTGAAAGTAATAAAATAAGGAAGTATTGTGTAATAATCACATATATATATGTATTGTTTCGACCTTGTATAAAAATACTACACTTCCGTCAGAAGATACGTTTACGTGTACATATATATTCGGTATCATAACATAACAATATATCTCATTGTAATAGTCGTACAGTGTATATACATTTATTCTACGTATCGCTATATCCTAGTACCACTGTTCGATCCAGAAATCCTTGCACAGGATTTCTCAGACAAATTATCATAGCGAACATTGACACTTAAACAGGGCTCCATTAATTTGCAACCGTGCTTACGCGTAATTCGGAATGAACCCATATCGTACTCCGAGGAGTTAATCGTTCAATTTAGATTTCACATTTTTCGAAGCACCTTAACTAACTTGTTCGATTTTTTACAATGCCATTGTTACATAAAATCTACACGCAACGCGCGCGCAAGTTAAATGGAGTACTTCCATAAAAAACGTAGCAAGTTAGGTGGTACTTAAATCGATAATTAAATGTGCAATAATACATCCTTTAGACCGTATCAAACAGGTGCTTTATACAATATTTACATCACATTTTCTTAGACTTAGACTGGTCGGAGCAAAATAATGTCTGACGTTCAGGTAAAATAACATCCGCGACGATTCGCCTTAGATGAACTAATCTTTTTCAATCGACAAATTTAATTTCACATACCTGAACATCGCGTAGGCTGAATTAAATCCATTTACAAATTTCTCTTCAACATTAGTAACAAATCGAACGCGAGTGACCGCAATTGCCACTCTACGTCCCGATTGCCTGATCGTCATCGAACGAAAATCTTTGACTGGAAGAACAAGAAACGTCAAAGGGGTGGACTATGACGACGAGGCAAACGGCATAAGAAGAATAGACAGATATGTCACGGAGTTTTTCGGGATATCCTCAAGGTCCTCCTGGAACTCCGAGATGCCTTCCTCGAACTCCTCCTTCGAGCTCCGTCCCATCTTCCCTAGCACTTCCTATGGAACGCCGCTCGGACCGATGAAACTTAATCTTAAACTTGAACTTGGAAGGCAGGAACGGAATGCCTCAACCAAGGAAGAGCCGGCACCAGGCTGGAATATATCGCAGGGTGTCCTCGAGAACATCTGCTGTGATGACTGAGAAGGCCCTGAATTTCCCACCTGCCGGACTCGCTGATGCACATCAAAGGAGCCCCTTCGTCATTCTGGAAATAGAAAAATGAAAATCATTAAACGAGCACGTCCAACCGTTACCTGGACAAAAATCATGAACATACGTAGCAAGGACCCTTATCCGTGTCGGTGAACCTCGCGCAAATGTTGTCCTTCGTGATAAATCCTGCATAATGACTCGTTGCGTTACATTCGGCCGAATCGTACGTAGGTACCGGGAGGAACTTGAGATATTGCCGAAGATTGACTTCGCCATTCATGGGGAAGCCCCAACCAGCCGTGACGCACAGTTGCCTTGGCTGAAGAGGAAATTAGTAGAAGTTGGCGTCATACATATATTAATGACTAAAGTACCGATGTAGGAAAGCGAAGACCAGAAGCAGCCATCGAGTACCTGGAAGGGACGGTTCGGCAAGCAGACGGCACTGACGTTCCTGGAGAAAATTAGGGGCTCGGCGAGTTCTACCAGGGCGATGTCGTCGTTGTAGAGGAACTGGTTGTATTTCACCTGGGGGTAGGGGATGATGTTCTTAACCTGATGTGGCTTTTGTAAGTCGCTGCCGGTGAAGAGCTGCCAGCCGGTGGTCTGCCGGTACCTGCATATGGTTCGATGAGAAGTCGGGGTCCTGGAGAAGAGGTCTTCTTTCGGTACTTACCTGTGAATGCAGGAATAGCTGGCGAGGGCGTGCAGAGGCCCCAAGACACTCGCAGTGCACGCGGCCCCGTGTTTTGGTTCCTTAAGGAGAGCCACGCTGGACCACTGACCCTCTTCGGCAGGAGTCCCTCCTACTAGCCTGGCCGTGGGTCCCTCTGCGTAGTGAGATCCGCAAGGGAACTCTTGACAGGACACCTCTACGATCTTGCCCGATGGACACGCTTCCACGGGCTCCAGGTTTCTGACGAGAGGAATCCCGGGCGTCGCCCCGGCCCTCAGTCTCAGGAACTGGGGACTTTCTTCCGGAGCAAGCGACCTTGTCATCACCGAAAAGGAGTACCCCAGGGCTCGACAATACGCGTCGCTGAACTCCTTTGTCCAGTCATCGGAGCAGACCGAACGTCTCTCCCCAAAGGGCATCCTGAAAATGGTGACATCCTTCGTTTTTCAAAAAATCAAACAACTTCGACAGAGGAAGCTGGTCTTGATCCTGGCCTTACAAATGTTTTTCTTCTTACACTTTTTGCAAAACCAAGATCGGTCCGGCTCGTCGATACTTTTTAGCTTCGGTCTTACTTTATCCTCAACACCGTCGCCCTGGCGGTTGGCTCCTCGTCGCCGATGCCTTCGTCCTGTTTCTCCATGTCCGTGGAGTCGTTTCTCCAGGTGGTGACGTTCGCGACGAGGCAGTCCCATTCGTCGGATCGGTCCGGACAGTGCTCGAACCCATCGCAGACTTGGTCCAGAGGCACGCAGCCTCCGGTCTGGCACTTGAACTGATCTAGGGCGCAGTCGCAGAGCTTTTCGTCCTCGCCTTGGGAGCACTCGGGAACTCCATTGCAGTGCCAGGTTTGGGGAATGCACCACTTTTCTGTGGGACAGAGGTACTCGTCGTTGCCGCAGCTCTCCGCACAGGAGTACTCGTCGCGGTGGTCCTCGCAATCGGGACGACCGTCGCATTGCCACAACACGGGGATGCACCGACCTGTGGATCGGAAGTGGGACTTGAGTCAGGCGGAAGCATCTTCTCGAGATAAAAATTAAATTTCCACGTATCGGACCATTTTTCACTCATTCGAATACTCACCGTTGGGACATCGGAACTCATCGAACTGACACTTCCAGTTTTGGCAGTCCTTCTCGTCGCTGCCGTCGTCGCAGTCGATGATTCCGTTGCAGACTAGATGCCTTCGAAGACACTGTCCACTGGCACACTGGAAATTCCCTGGACATCCTTCCTCCTCGCAGTTCCATTCATCCGACCCATCGGAACAGTCGTTCTCCGAGTCGCACTTGTCGGAAAGGTTGACGCAGTAAGCTCCTTCCCTGGAGGTTCCATTCACGCACTGAAACTGACCCGTCGTGCATTTGGAGAACACCAGACCTGGGATCTTCCGAAGGATGTCATCAGGGTCGGCGATACTTTCGGAGTCTTCCGATCTTGCCTTGGAAATCACTCCCATCGATACCCCTTGCTCTTCGGCATCTCTCATTTCCTGAACTTCAATGGATGCCTGCGGCTCCTCGGCCGTCTTGCTCTCTGCGGGAACCTCGGAAGTAGACGTTGAGGTGGAGGACTCCTCGGCATCCGCCCTCTTCGTGGTTCCCTCGGATGAAGAAGACGCGGAGATCAAGGGCGTCGTTACCTCCGGAGGATCATCTGAAGATTTTTTCTCAAGTTCTTCCGAGGACGTCGAGATCCTATTAGGAAGAAGAGTGGTCATCATCTTCGCGTCCTCTTCGTCAATCTCTTCGGATACGGGGATGAACGTAGGGTACTTCCGCGTGGTGGATGTGTCTTCAAGGGTGTCGTTTCCCTTTTCGTTATCTTCGAATTTTCGAACCTCCACTTTTTCGAGCTCTGAAGTCACTTCCGGGATTTTTGGTTCCGAAGTCGAGGAAGCGTCGGTCCCCTCTTCGGGGCTGTTCGTCGACGTTGAGTCGACCTTCGTGAAATTCTCTTTTTCCTCCTGGATATTCATCGTCCCGAGAGTCGTGCTCTCTCGAATGATCCCCTCTTCATCGTCCAGGTTCAGCTCCTTCTCTTTCTTGTACTTATACTTGTCGAGGGGTTTTTTTTCCACCGTCTTCTTCTTCGCCTCCTGACTCTTCTCCAACGGGATCACTCGCAAGTCCTCTTCCTGGGACTCGTCCAGCTCCGTGCTCGACCTCGTCCTGTCCGTCGTGGAGAACAGAGTTTTGTAGTCGAATTCCAGAGGCTCCATGTCGTCGATGAGATCCTCGGAAACGGGCCTGATGTCCTCCGTCGTCGTGGTCGTGTCCGAAGTGCTCGTCCAACCTTTGCTCCCATTTTCTACGGACGACATTATCGTAGACTCGCTTTCTGGACTCATCGTTGCGTCGTCTATCATTTCGTCATCTTCATTCGGCTTCTCCTTTTTCTTCTCTTCTCTCATTCCACTCGTGACGTTTTCAGTTTCGAGATCCTCTTCAACCTTCGTCTCGACGACGACGGCAGAGCTGGCGACGTTCTCCTCGGTAGTCGATTTTTCGCTCACTTCTGCACCTTTAGGTTCGTTATTACCTGTGTTTTCTTCATTTTTAGAAGAAGTTCCTGATTCTCCTTCGGTGGCATTACGCTTTCCATCCTCGACAATACTGGAAGTTGAAGAGGAACCCGAAGAGGCATCGCTCTCGGTCTGCAGCTCGTCGGGTAAAATGGGGACCTGCGCCGTGGTCTTACTTTCGATCACGGAGGTCTGCGTAGTTATCGTTGAAGAATTTATTTCCGTAGTTTCCGACTCCACCAATGTCTTCTCTGTTAGATCCGAAGACATTTCCGACGAGGATTCCGTCACAGTGGGCACTGCCGTGAAGATCTCCTGCTGGATCTCGATGGGCAGGATTGGGATCTCGGTTGTCAGCTTCGGATCCTCCATTTTCACCTCCAAGCCTGTTTCCTGAGTTCCGTTGACCGATGTCACATTGATAATGGACTCTTTTTCTTCGGGGTGTACGGAAATCTCCGATGTCGACGAGTTCGTCTCCATAACCAGCGTCGAAGTCTCCGGAGTCCCCGGGAAACTCGTCACGCTTTCGGTGCCATTTTGGTCCCCACTCTTCGGAGCCGAATTTTCAGTCCGATGTTCAACTTCTTCGTCGACATCTTCGCGATGTTCAACCTTTGCACTCTCGTTTTTACTCCCACTTCCGACCTCGAAGAGATTCTCCACGTGGTGGAACTCCTTCGATGAATTATCATCTGCAATGTCGTTGTACTGGTCCTCCAACGTGTTCTCTGCCGATTTCTTCAGCTTCTCCTCAACACTTCGCACCTCTTCGGGTTCTCTGGTCGTCGCCTCGGTGGTCGCACTCGTGACCCTTACATCCTCTGTAGACGTCCTGGGAATTTCGCTCTTTGTGGTTTCCTTTTCAGGTTCTTCGCCATGCTCCACGGGCGCCGGTTCTCCACCCAGAGGAATCACCTTCAGTTTCTCGTCATCCTTGTCATCATCCGGTGAATTAACTTCCTCGCTCGTATTTCGCCCTGGAGTGAGATTGTCGGTTACCCCAGGATGTTGAGTGACATTTTCCGCCACTTCTTCAGGGTCCTTGGGACCAGAACTTTGATCTTCTGATTTAACCTCGCTGGTCTCGTTTACCTCTTTAAGATCTCCCAAACTCGAATTTTGCGACTCGGTGACGCCTTCATTTTCTTTCAGTTCACTTCCAGGGAGAACATTCTGACTCTTCAGGGTATCCACGTGGACCTCGTTATCCAAGTCAGGACTTTTCCAGATCATCGTGGTCTCCTCGGTGATGGTCTTTTCGGGACTCTGAGTGATCACGTCTTCGACGTGGCCTTCGAACGGATTCGGCACGTCCTGCTCGTCCTTGTCCAGTCGTGGGGCCTTCTTCGGGGTCTCCTCTCGATGGACATCCGGTAGGAAGGGCGACATGTCTTCCACGTGCTTTTCATCGGGAATATCCACCTTCTCGGTCGTCGCTTCGTACCACTTTCCTGAAGAGTCAGGAGGAACTTGGACACTCTTAGTTTTTTCTTTCTCTTCGATAACCTCTTCATCCTTTGACGCATTTATATCAGCACCAGGAACCAATTCGTCCACATTCGTCAGGGTGTCCGTTGAATTTTCTTCCGAGTTCTCTGCCGAATTTTCTTGCACGAGGACATGTTCCGTCAACGTCTCGCTCGATTCTTCATCTTTTTTCGGTTTTTCGTCCTTTTCGATCGTTTCTGACTGACTTTTGCCACTCTCTTCAGGAGTGAGCTGGGGTATCGTTTCGAATGCTTCGTCCGAAGAAGCTCCTGGGGTTGGTCCCTGTTTCTCTGGCTCGGTTCCATTCTCCGTTGAATCTATCAGAGGCTCTACGTTATCCGCGATATTTTTCGGCAGTTTCGGGAAAACTGTCGTTGGCATGTGCTCGATGACGTTCGAGTCGTTCTGGTCTTGCGACTTCATCCTCGATGGCGCCGTGTCGTTGGTCTCCTAGAAAACGATAAAAAAAAAAATTATTTTTCTCGCCTCGAAAATAATAGAACATATTTTTAATAAATCACCATTAAATCCATTTTGGTGGCGGAATCGGACGGGAGCTGAGATTCGATTTTCGATTCCGATTCCGTCGTCTCTTCGGATTTTTTCCTCGCCTCCTCGGTAGCTGCGTCGACATTTTGCCCGACTTTTTCGAGGAGCGATTCGGTCGCGTCGTCCAGCTTGTGAGTTGCGTTCGAGTTGGAACTTTCGGGCGATTTTTCCAAAAGATTTTCTACGATGGTGTCCTTTTCCACTTCAGGCTGAACCATGGGCGTTGTAGACGGCTCTTCAACATTTGGATCGCTCTCTTCAGAGTTCACTTCGGGGTGAACGGTGTTGGCTATTCCCGATTTTTCGTCTTTGGATTCGTCGAATTCATCATTAGGCATTGCAAAATCAGTAGCAACAATGGATGGAATTGTTGTCCCCTCGGAAGAGGACAGGGGGATCACCGTTGCAGGTGCATCTTCGGTTGTCGATTCCGTTGGGCTGCCTAAAATAAAATCGTGAATGATTTTTCTACGCCTTTATTTTATTTAACGCAAAATTTTACCGAGTTTATTCACCTGTCGTTTCAGGTGAAGATTCCATTTCTGGCCTCAAATCGATCGGAACTGCGAAATCAGATGTCGTATTCGGAGTCGGTGATACAAATTTGGAGTCATCTAATATTTTGTCTTCCTCCTGAGCATCATTGGAGATTTTTGTCGAATTTTCGGACGTCATCGAGGTCTCGGATGATGGTCCCAAATCGGCAGGATTTAAAACAGCTTCCATCGAAATGCTGGATTCGGTCGATGACTGTGCCGATGACGAATGCGATTCCGTGGTTATTTGATGATTATCAGACATATTGCGAGTATTCGAATCATCGACACTTTCGGGCTCTATTTTGGGAATGATAGAATGATCAGGTTCAATTTGTGCGGTCTCCGTAGATGGTTCGGGTTCTGCTTTTGGTTCCAATGAAGACTCGGACGATGTGGAGTGGGTCTCTTCGGGGTTCATCGAGGGTTTGGATTCGGTTACAGGTTCCATGGATATCATTTTCGTTTCGGAGTCTGCCGATGGTGCAGGTTCAGGAGATGGCACTGGTTCGGTGGATGGTTCAGGTTCGGCGGATGGTTCAGGTGCAGAGGAAGGTTCAGGCTCTGCGGATGGTTCCGTTTCAGCAGCTGGTTCGGGCTCTGGGGGTGGTGTTGGTTCGGCAGGTGGTTCAGGTGAGGATAATGGTGCAGGTTCGGTAGGCGGTTCAGATGAGGGTGATGGTGTAGGTTCGGGTTCGACTGAAGGCGCAGGTTCGGCAGCTGGTTCAGGCTCTGAGGATGGTTCCTCTGCTGGCTTAGGCTCGGCAGGTAATTCTGGTTCAACGGATGGTTCTGGTTCAACGGATGGTTCTGGTTCAGCGGATGGTTCAGGCTCGGCAGATGGTTCAGGCTCCGCAGATGGTTCAGGCTCAGCGGACGGTTCAGGCTCAGCGGATGGTTCAGGTTCCGCAGCCGACTTGGGTTCAGCAGGTTCAACAGGTTCCGCAGGAATAGACCCTACATGATGATGCCGATCCCCATCAAACACGGACCCAGGTTCATCGCGTTCCTCAGAATGCCGATGAATCCAGTGATCCGAGTGCAGAGGATCAAAGGCATCCGGACTCCTGCTCCTACCCTGCACCATCTCTTCCATGGACTCCGTGCTCGACTCCGACAAGACCTCCTCCATGTCGACGTTACTCAAGTCGTTCTCGTCCCGGCACATCTTCCCCGATCCGTCTAACAGCTTCCCAGCGGAACAGGTGCATACGAACGACCCCGAAGAATAGTCAAATTGGCACCCATCCGAGCAGCCGAGTTTCCCTTGTTCGCACTCATCGGACAAATTTCCAACATGTAGTCCACTGGAGCGATACCTCCCGACCATGTTGTCGTTCCTCTTCAGCATCTCCTCGATGCTCTTCTTGGCCTCTTCGGGGCTCGGGACCGGCGGGTGACTTATCCTAAACCTGACCTCCCCGTTTTCATCGATGGCGTACACCTTGACCACGGTGTCCATGTGTTCATCGGTCTTTAGCATGTTCTTCAGGTTCCCCTCTATCTCGGCGGAGACGTCCCTGTACACCCTCGACTTGGGGTCCGCCAGTTCGGCCGTCCATCGAAGGTCGTCCAGCCTGATCGTCCCATCCAGGGCCATGGGAACGGTCGCATAAATCGACTCGTCCGTCGTCGGCCATGGAGGGAAACTGGACGTCTCTGGAGGAGGACTCGAGGGGGGATTCTTCATGTACCCTTGACTTCCGGCGGTTAGCACGTCGCCCAGCTGACGCGAACTCGCGTGGTCCTCGTTGTTGTCCAGGGGTTGGGAAGCTTCTTGGGTCAGGATGACGCCGGCTGAAAAAATTGGTCGTTACTTCACGTGCCATTTCTCTTTACTTATTTATTCAATGCATGTCGAGGTCTTTGCGGAACTCGTCAAAACCGAAGTCGACCTACTCGCAGCCAAGATGGCGATGACGACGGCGACGGCCAGCACCAGGAGCCCGAATCCCCAGCACGCCATCCTCCTCCAGTAGGAACTCCTGGACCTCTTGTCCTTGGTGACGTAGAGCTTCTCGCCCCTGAAACAGAAAGGACGACCTGTCGAGTCGAGTCCTGGGGAACGGTCGCTTCCAAAGCGGTTTGTACAGCGCTAGGTGACGAGTTACAGCGACGGGGTTAGAAGCTCCCCTTGTGGAATCAGACACCTTAGTAAGAGGCCTCCTCCTTCTATCTCTAGGTAAGCCGAAAGCACGTCGGAGTCCTTTACAAGGGGCGCCGACCGGAAGCTCCGCAGACCTTCGGCGGGACCGGGGGACCCCGAAGACGCCCCGCGACCCTGAAGTCGCGCCGCGACTTCGGGGAGGAAAGCGAGTTAGTGCGCGTTCCTGGACCAGCTCGAGCATCCTTCTCTCCCGCCATGTCGATAGGACTAATCCTGGCTCAGTACCTGAGGGCTGTCAGCCAGTGGGAATAGTCAACCAGTCCTGCCGTAGGGTCCCTCAGGCTGAGTCCTTCCCGGCCGACCCCTGGGCCCAAATCAAAACGGACCCCGGCCACCGTGGTCTCGACCTCCGCCTCGGGACCTCTGCTATAGGGTTATGGGGTGAACGACGTCGCTTCTCTAGGTTATTTGGCGACTTCTCCTCGCCCTTTCGACATCGTCTTCGAGGCCGATTACGCCCTCTCCTCGCCCTGTTCGACCGTTTCGACCGAGCCCTCCCCGCCAGCGATCGCAATTTTATACGATTCTTCAAACCTACCGTACGCGTCCTGTCTCTTTATGCCTCTTCGTGTTCTCGATTTTACGGCCCTCGACGCCCCGACTTCCCGAGTTTCGACAAGGATCGCCATCTTGGACGGCTCCGGACGTTGCGACATTTTCGTTTCGTCAGATCTCGCCTGCCTATTATTTTCCCATTTCGATTTCGAGGCCTGATAACGGAGACTTTTGAAACGCGATATAATTGATCCTTGGGTCGAAGCAATCGTTGACATTTCGCAAAGACCGGCGACGTTTCGGGTTTCCCGCTCGTTGCGTCCTCTTTTCGTTCGCCTTCGAAGTTGCACTTATGCGTGCTCGACCTTTCGGCGATTGTTCTTCTCGCTTTTGTCAAGAGAAGGTGAAAATTCCGAAGATTCTATCCCTCGAAGATCGGGAAAATTTCTGAAGCTCGGAAGAGCGATGAGAATTTTTTTTTTTTAATTTTGAAAGACATATTACCGCGTTCCGGAATCATTCGAAGATGGCGGACGAGCCTTCGTAATTATTATCCGCGCCGTTTATAAATGATTGTACGCGATTTACGCGGCCATTCTCGAAGTAAGAGGGAAAACGTCGACCCACGTCGCGCGTCAACTTTCTGGTTATTTAACATGGTAAGTGACGTGCAATTATATGCCAATTGTCCGACCAATCATCGTAGTCAGGTGAAAACGGGCGGAACAGGAGTGGCTTCTAACGAACTAATGGATGGCCGATCGACGAGGTATTCTTTACCACTTTTCTTGACAAGAGATACGTCCGGTCGGGTCAACGCCATTTTTGGGACGAGCGGGAAAATTTCGGAAAATCCTAATTAAGGCGCAAAATATCCTTCGTTTCAAGGATTTCCTGGTGGAGAGTTCACCGGGGAATTGCGAGGCTCGACGAAACGGTCATTCCACGGCGAATTAAGTTACCTGACCTGTGACCTCGAGTGATCGTCCGACACCGTTAGAGGTACCATGTGACGACGGGTATCGCTCGGAGAACAACGAATGGACGGAGGCATTGTACGCCGCTCGTTATCACGAAGTCGTGTACAGTTCCCGTTATCCGTTTCATGGTGGTTTCCGGCGAGTTATCACGTGACATTGGGAACTCTAATGGAGAAAGCCAATCGCGAAAAGTGGACGAGGAACGACGAGCGAGAATGTCTGGGGACAAGTTGCAAAACCACGCGACCTCGAAGTCGTGAAATTAGGAGGGGCCCTAAATTTTCTTGATATTAAGTTTTCACGAACGTGAAAAAACTAGAAATGGAAAAAATGTAATTTCAAGAGTGTCGAGATCTTCCTCGGAGCTTCCACGTTCACGTGGAATGAACGTCAAACGATTCGGTGCCCTCGGTTCGGGGAAAAGGGTGAAAAAGCCACTTTTGTATCACCTTAACGCGGGAACTCGTTCTCGTTACTCGCGAGGGACCGAGAGGAGGCGGCGCTGGCGAACGGTACCCGGCGAACGTTAAGAGGAGCGAAGGCGGAAGAGAGAAGACGGGAGAGAAGAGAAGAGAAGAGGAGGCGAACGAGACCAGTTCCCTCGGGAGCCGGCGAAGTTACCTGATGTACTTCCGATGCTCGTTCACCGGGACGAAGTACTCCTCGTAGGGGTCGGAAGGCACCTCGCAGGCCTCCTGGCCCTTGGCCTGCAGGTTCCCCGTGTAGGGCCTCATCGAGACCAGCTCCAGGTTCACGGCCTCGACCTGCTCCTTCTTGCTGTCTGCGAAATTCAAGATCCGGCTCAGCGAGGCGCTCTTCGGGGTGAGGGTGGAGGAAACCACGTTATGAAATTACCATTTGGCACGCTGACGACGCTGCTGTTGAGGAAGCTGGCGTCGTTGTTGCCGTTGCCGTTAACACCATTGAGCTTGGGGGTCGCCGAGTTCTTCTCCGAGCCGTCCGCCGGCAGCTCTATCCTGGTTTCCGACTTGTATCGCGGCTCCGGAGAGGTCCTGACCGGCTCCACGTAGTGCTGGGACACGAAGGACTGCCGGTGATCGGCGTCGTCCTTGGGGGTAGCTTCGGGGGCCGAATTGCCCCCGTTCTCCAGGGTCACCTGTCCGTTCCCGGGACTCTCGTCCTTACTCGAGACCACGTTCTCCGTGGTCGGTCCCACCGACTCGTCGCTCGTGAACGCCGGGTTGTCCGTGCCACCCTCGTCCTCGGCCATTTTCAAGGCTTATCAGGCCTCGGGGGTCCCGCTCGACTGTCGACTCTCACCTGGCCTGGCCGAGTGTGTCATGCGGTCTCGATTCTGAAAGCAAATCGAAAATGACGAACCTGGTTCACCCCATCCGCGCGGAAAGAGACTCGGGCGAGACCGAGTTCCGCGCCAAGCCCACCATTGAGTCCATCAACGAAACTCGGCAGGACTTCGCGTCAAATAATTATTTATAAATCCGTGTAAGCACGCGTAACCGCGAAACGCTCGCCTAGTCGTTATCTGCGAATATCGGAATTACGTTACATCGAGAATTGAAGTTTCTTCGGGAAACCAAGGATCTCCGCGCCACGTAACGCGGCGAAACGCGGGTGAAACCTTTCGAAAGTCTAAATTCGTCCGGTGCAGACGGTGTTTTGCCGCGGCATTTTTTTCCCTCCGAGTCCTTTCCTCTTTTTTCCTGGCGGTTCCCGGCGGAGGCAATAAACCCGGGATCCGGGACAGGAAAGAGACGAAGCGGAGCCCTTGGGGGGCCCGCCCATGGAAGCGTCCTGGGACCGAACTCGTCCAGACGGAGCCGATCGCCCACTTGTGCACCTCCTTCCTCTCCGAGTGCTCCCGCGACTTCCACACTCCTTGTCCAGGGTTAAGCGTATTCGCGAATGCAGTTACGGGACCCGATACAAAGCGGGACGAAGACGAAGGTGCGGAGGAGAGAGAGAGAAGAAGTGCGCGGCCCTGTACAACGGGTGTCTCGAGTTTCCCCAAATTTCCCCCAAATTATTCAAACCGTTTGATAACATTTTTCAAGCTATCTCGATAACAATTTATCAACCGAAAAATCAAGAACCACTCGAGAAACGAATGTAAATTCTCAGAGCTGTTTCCATAATTTTTTTATTTCCTCCGAAATCGCGCGAAAAAAAAAAATTATCACGATCCTGGAAATGGTCAGTGGTGTACATTAATTTTGTCCGATCAGTGGCGTTAACTCGGTCCCGGATTATCCTGGAGTCTTCCAGGAAGGAGCGATTTTAGCGTGAAATCGCGTTTCTCCGAGTATCGTCGGGGCGTTCGCACGATACGAGGTGCACTATAGCTACGAGTTAGCGCATCCGCAGGTACAGTCGGGTTAGGCTAGGTGCACAGTCTGCGAGTCCAAAAGTGGTTGACCCTGAGCAGAGCCGACCACAAAGGACTGATTCACCGGCGAGGCGTCCCGCGGGACCCGCGTTCCCTGTTCCCGATTTTACGGCGCCTGCTCCCAGCCCCGAACAAATGACATAATCCCGCGGATCGCCGAAAAAACTCGGCCGAAAAAGCCTGGGCTCGGTCCATTGACTCGGCTCCAAGAGTGGCCTCCCCAAATAGAAGCCATTACGTCGGGGAACGAAATAGCGAAGAACGGCGACGAAGCCAAAAAAGGGACTCGAATTTTTCGAAATAAAAATCGTCGCACCCTCCGACACCTGAAATAATTTTTTCACCCGGGGTTATGAACGCGACTTTGGGACATGTAATTACTCCCAACAATGTGATTGCAGCCGATGGGATTTTAATTGCTTCCCTAGAGACGTGGCGCAACGTTAGATGGGATTAAGTGCTCACGTATACGCGATACGTGCATAATGGCCGGCGATCGCTTCTCGATTATGGATCGAAAGAATCTGCGGTTACCCCGGTGGTTAGGGTAAGTGGATGTACCGAGAGAAAGGAGGGCGATTACCGCCTCTCTTTCGACGGCTCCTCTCTTGTCTGTGATTTACGTCAACGTCCAAAATCTGGATCGGGTAAGACCGGGTGAGAGGTCCGCCATTTTGATTTTGCTCATCTTTCGCCGGGTCGCAGCGAGGTCCTTTGATTCGCAATTAATTCCTCCTTGTTGATATATTTTTTCTCTCTTAATTAGAGTTCAAGGGTGTACTTTACAGGCGCACTTTAATACCGTTCCGAAAGTGGCTGAGATCCTCTTCCTCTTCCGTTTTATAAGACGCGCCTCGCCTGGCGCGTTACATAATGTTAATGAACATCCTGTATACGCGCCTATAAATATTCAAACGTATCGTAATACATATCCGCGGGTGATTATCAATATCCCACGATAGCGGGGATCGTTTTCCCGTAAACAACGCGATTATTTCACACTTTACGGGAATTTCGTCCGATACGGTCGCGCTAACGAGCTGCAAGCTGAAGATACATAAAAAGACGCGCATAAAAATGGCGGACCTTAACCGCGCATGTTCTCGAGGAAAATGCACGAAAATGCTCGGAATCTTGAAAGCCTCTGAAAAAAATACGCGGAGCCGTCAAGGCGGGATTTAGTTGTGCAATAATTAATTATAGAAGACCGACTATAGCGTTCTTTCAGCGGCCAAGGAAATCCGAGAGTACGCGTACTTGACAAAACCGCGACACGAGATGAACGTCTTTCTCGAAATTTGCATGGAAGGAACCCGACATTAACGCGAAGTCCTGGTGCTCGTCCCATTGCGCAATAGGGCGACGCGATCGACGCGGAACTATTCGAGTGGGCGCATGCGCGCGCCCGTAAATGCCGCTGCGCGGCGGCGCCCTGCGCAGCCCACGTGACCTTTCCCTCATGGCGGCCTCGGAGGGGGCGAATAGGAGTGCGAAGGAGCATCCTCGACTCGAATCCCTACACATTCAGCCCGACGTATGCGTGTCTACCTTACTTTCTACATTCCACGGCGAGACGAAACCGCGTACACCAATATGGCGCCCGAAGTCACCGGCGAACCGCGACGGTTACGTCGGAAAAACTAGAAAATGCATTATTGGTAAATATAGTAACCGCTGAATACGTGAATTACGAAAGACGGGACATCGTCATCTTGGATAGGGAGAAGGTACTCTCTCGAAATATATGAGCGGTTAGGTGTAATTATTAAAAGTCGTTAATCGCGTCACTCACCCCAACGACGCCAGGTTGCTCTCGATTAGAGACGCGTTATTAAATGGCGGCTTAATCGAACGTTGCTCCTCTTTTTCCTCGGCTTTCGAATGCGTCACCCGGGCGATTACGCCGACACGTAACGGGCGAGTCGTGTGTGCATTTTCTCGCACGGTAAATCGAGGCGCAAGGACGATTCGCGTTCGAGTCCCCCGCAAAGGAGAGACTCCCTCCGACGCGCTCCGACCAGCCGCCATCTTGGAACCGCTCGACGCTCCGTGTATGTACTCGTATTAAAGGTACATATTTTAAGACATTACCTGTACCCAATGGCACGATTTACTAGCCATTAATTAAATGTTTTCGGCGCTCGGTTACGCACGCGCTGATTACCGAGGAAACGCATTTGCCGAAGAGAGTCGGCGAGGAAAGCCGCTCGACGGCAGCCGCGCAAGGACGACGATTTTTCCTACGAGCGGTACCCCTTAACTCGAGTGGAATTTGCATTTTTACCGGACACGGCGCTGCTGGGCACACCCTGATCGACGTCCATGTTTTATTTATGCGCTAACCTAGGTGTGTGTCGCACACATTCGGCCACTGCTCTCGGCTTTAGAGAAGTTTACATAGCTGCGTTTGTACAGGGAGAAAAGTTCCTGCGAGCTCTATTAGGAATATTTTTCTCTTTTTTTCTTCTGGAGTTTCAGCGACCCCGGCGCCAAGAGGAATTTTCCAAAATGTGCCAGAGGGTATCTCTCTAGCAGGGAACATTCCTAGAGCGAAACGTTTTTCTTGAAGGACGAAAGTGGCGTTACTTCTTGCAAATTGGAATTAATTCCTATCCTGAAGAACGGCGACGCTCGTCGACGCGACGCGTTTATGCAACGTGGAGTTAACCTACTTTTCGTCTCTCGACTTCGGAGTCGCGTTTCGATCCTCGTGTCACCCTCGACAATTGCTGGGCATTGCGTGCCACCAGGGGGCTTTGGCCTTGTCTCCGAAGTCAATGCACTCTGCAGAAAATTAGCCGGAAAAATGGTGGGTGGGAACGGCGGTGGCGAAAAAATGGCGGAAGGATACTTTCGTCCTTGCCGAATGGTATTAACGATTTACCGGGTTAAATGCCGCGGCGAGAACGCAAGGAACCTCGAGCAAGAAAGTGAAGGGAGAGAAGCGACTTTCATCGCTCGGGAGTACCTATTTTATCGGGTATCGAAGGTTCCCCATCCATCCGAAGAAAGTCGTTCGCGTTGCTCTTCATCTCGCAGAGACGCGCCGCGTCGGCCAACCTGGACATTTTTATTCTCACACGTAATTCGTTTTATCGAGATTTGTACACTTTAAATTTATTCAGCCTTTTCCAAATTTCCAAACTTAAGAAAGCGTCCGAAACATACGTGAGTGGTAATGCACGTTTCAGACACGGAGTGTCGTAACGTTAACAATGTTGGCAATAGCTCGTTACAACGGAATTATGCTCGATCCAGATTCCGTCATTGGAAGCACGAATGACCATGAAAAATGGCCAAGCCTTCGCTCGCGTGTTCGACATCCATAAAGCACCTTTCGAAATGTTCCAAGCGATATCCTGGGGAATTTTGAAACTCCCGAAACGTTTCTCTCGATGCCATTAACGATTCTTGCCCGAAGCTCGACTCGGCTTTTTCGGCTTTTCTCGGCGCCGAGCGTAAAAGTAAAAGTAAAGGTAAAAGTCGATGTAAAAGTCCGGCCGTAAATCGCTCCGCGGATAACTGCTGAAAATCCGCGAGAAAGTCGGCTTCTTCGAGTTTCTGAAAAAGGGGGAAAAAGGAGAAAAAGAGGACGAATCGCGACATTCCTGCCTGGACGATAAAATTATCACGCTTGGAATAAAAATTGTTATGAGCGAGAGATAAGTTGAATTTCGGCGACATTTCTTAATTTTTCTGACGAAGAAATCAAATCGTCAAAA